GAGATAAACCGAACTGAAACATTTTTAGGTTTTTGGACTAAAATGGACAAATTCGAGAACATGCATGCGAAATGAGCATAAATAAAAAGTTAAAGGACTAATTGGATTAAATTTGAAGCATGAAGGACTGATTTGATTAAATTCAAAACATAAAGGACTGATTTGAAAAGAGTTGAAATATGTGGACTGAATTGTTTAATTATAAACGTTTTGGATGAAATTAAAATGAGAAAACATAATTTTGACTTTGACTAAAATTAACAAAAATTAAGGATTTAAATAAATTAATATGATAATTAACTTAATTAATAATTTAACATTAATTAAAATTAATTAAAATTAATTAATCATATTATTAATCTTTAATCAAGATAATATAATTATCTTAAATTAAAATGAATAAATATGATTAATTTATTTTAATTAAAATTAATTAATATTACTAATCATAGATTAAGTCAATTATCTTAATTAATTAATTCCTTTTATTTATATTATGTATTTTTTTTTACTGGATCGGATTTGATCGACCCGAACAAAAAAAACACAACCCGAACATAAAATAACCAAAAAGAAGATCAAACATGCAAACAACTAGGAAACTAGGGTTCGTCATGAATACATCTCATTTCCAGCAAAAGATGAACAGATTCATCAAGCAAATAAATAGGCAAATCTATGATCTTTCATTCATTTCTCAAGAAATACATACAATCTTGAACATTAAATGAAAAATACAAAGAGAAAGAAATCAACAAACAAAGCAACACCCACGGTAGAATTCTTCTAGGAAAAGCAGATCCAAATCTGATGGGAGGGATCCCACCCACGAGACCAGGCTCCCATCGTTCCCTTCACCACCGTTCCCAGAAAAACTCCTTTGTTTAGAAAATTACCTACAAAGTAGACTCAAATCTTCTCCCAAATCACCGACTCTTTCTAGCAAAATTCCTCTCCTTTCTTGCCGCCGTTCTCCACACCCAAAACCAAAACCGAGACCTTCCTCCCCTCAGTTTCTAACCTAAAGCCCTCTATTTATATCCAAACACAGAAACCCTAAAGAACATTCCAGAAAATCAACTCTTCGGGCCTTTTGGATTCACGGTTTTTGGGCTTTTTAAATCTGTTTCTCCTTTACCAGAGTCTGCAATGCATTTAGGCCCCTCCGATCTTGAATCTGTGAAATGCATATGGGCCTTCAATCTGTGTCGACATTAGCCTCTCGTCACTCCATTCGTGCTCCGTAGTAGTACAGATCTGCAAATCTAAACCAGTCGATAGGAAATTAAAACTTTGCCGAATCGTTGGAGCTTCGCGTGCACCTCACCTCCGTCGCCGGCTGGTAGATCTAATTGAACTCTCGCTCATCCTGCTGCTCACTCGCCGGTATGGTTGGTTCTGGACTACTGGAACGGTTCGAGAAGGCAGTTTGAAGCCAAGATCACTCGCAATTTTCTTTGACAGATGAGCACCGGCGGTGGCTTCAAAAGAAGGTTGCCAGTTGTTCAAGGATGAAGATCCGGGAGATGAGAGAGAGAAAAAGCCGAGGATGCATGAGGAAGAACAGGATCCGAGGGACGAGGGAGGAGTGATGGATCGGTGAGGAAGTTGTTTTGGGGCATGGGAAGCTCCATCGCTGGCGGATGGTGGTGCGGCTACTGGCTGAAGTTTACCAAGGATGGGGATGGTTCGGGAGAGCGAGAGAAGGGTACTGAAGGTTGACTGAAATGATGGAAGGTTCTGGAGAGAAGGAATTTTAATTCTCCCTTTTTTTTTCTTTTTTTTTTTTTTGTGAAGATTGGGTTTTTTGGTAGTTGGGCTTTAGGCTTGGGTTTTGGGTTTGATTTTGGGTTTTGGGTTTTGGTTTTTAACTTTGCATTTCACCACTCTAACTTTCCATCTCTTCAACTAAGTCCCTCATCTTAAATTCCTTCATCTCCCTTTTCCAATCCTCTTTTGTTCGTAAACCTAACAAGGAAAACAAAGACAAAACATATTAGTTAAAATAAAAAATAAGACTAAAAATATAAATAAAAATAAAATTCTATTAAGAATTTGAGTTATGACAATGTGCAGAAACCTGTTGGGATGCTTTCATTCAATAAGAATGTTCGGCATTCTTAGACAACATGAAAATGGGTTGGGAAGTCATATGGTTTGCATTATTGTGGACATTCTGGTTAACTAGAAATGAAATACTATTTAACAATGGGGAAGTCAACACAAATAAGATGTTCAACCTTATTCAAGTTCAATATTTTCACTGGCTTAAGAATAGGAGTGAAAGCATCCATTCTTATCTTTCAAACTGGTTACTTAACCCCAAGTTTTGTTGCAAGAATTAAGAGCATTTTGTTTTTACTGTCCCCTCATAACCCCTCATAATGTAGGGTTAATATATGGGTTGAGTACCCCTGGTACTCAATATTAATAAATTATTTTACCTTTTGCCTTTCAAGAGAGAGAGAGAGAATTGATAGGGATGATTGAAAAATTTTTATAATTTGTTAATATGGTAACAAATTACACAAATTTTGTCTTTATTTTTAAAATTAAATTGATTATATTTATACACTTAAATCTTCTTTTTCTATATCTCCCATTCACACTTTTTTTATGAATTAATACATTTAAAATTAATAATTATCAAAAAAATACTTTAAATATATATTTATAGTTAATTATTATTATAAAAATTTGTTATTAGTAAAATTTAAAAAAAAAATGAAAAAACAAATGAACCACATGAAG